TGTTACACCGTGTCTACGGACGTGAGCGGCGCGGTGCAACAAATCCCCGACAGAAAACTGGATCAGCGCTGGAAAGCTGATCCGATATTTACACGGGTCCTACTTCTTGCCTTATCTTTCCGCAGACGTTTTCCTCTTTTGTTTTTTTATCTGCCATCTCTATCTTTCTGTCGCTCGGCTCGGCTAATGTCCGTCCCACTGACTGAACGCGCTCTCCTCCACATCACGAGTAGACACGCCCCTTATTGCTGATTGGCTACAAGTTTGTTTTGCTATTCGGCCCGAATCAGTTTTCTAAAGTGTTTTTGAAAAATCACATACCCTGCCTTTAAAGAACACATTATTATGCGGTTGCCAGAGTCAGTGTTGCCAGGTCCAGGATTTTCAAACAGAATTGGGCTACTTTCATACCCCCCACCAATTTCCCTACTGGTCCAAGTCTCTAGATATGACTTGGGTCTATTCTTTAATTCAAGTCTATGGGATTTTGATTCATTGATTTTTTTATTGTGAGTTAGATAAACCATTTGAAAAGGTAACATCTCACCTCAACAGGCCATGATTTAATGCATCATACAAAGTACACAAGTTCAATAATTAAGGTTTTGAGAAACCAAAATAGTGATGCTTACATTTACATTTATGAATTTATCAGACACTTTTATCCAAAGCAACCTGCAAATGATTCATATGCTTGCCTTAGCGAATAGATCAGAATTGCTTTGAACTACATCTTTTGCAACTGCTAGTTCTTCAGCAGCTACACGTTTCTGAACCAAACATGTTTTTCATGTTTTCACAGCCAAAGATAAGTGCTGCCTGTGTGGGCCATGACAACAATCTCCTGCAATCACAGAGAGGATTGGTTGAATTTTTGAGGTTAAGCCTCCAATCCCATATATGACACATCCAGCCTGTTAACAATAATGAGCCACGGTGAGAAGGAGGTAAAGCAGCATTCATGAAATGTCTGCATTCTTCTTACTGCATTAACAAACAGTAGGCAGTGAGGGACTTCAACCAGGACAACCACAAATATAGCTGAGGCTAAAGTGTCAGCACCCAACACTATTCTAGTATGGACGTCCAGACAGAAGCATGCCTGTGTCACTCTGAAATAAACCACTGGTTTTAATAAAACACCAGTAAATCTGTGTGCTAATAAAATCAACAAACCCCTACAACAATTAAACCCACAACTCTGCATCTCTAACTAATTGCTGCCATTCTTGAATGAGTTGGTCAGTTTGAATATCTAGTTCTTTTGTGTGATGTTAATTGTGTTTACTTGTACAACATCATCCTAATTTTTATGGATAAACGCCTAATTTGGGGAACCAACAAATACACCTTAGGGCTCATTTTCCTCCATCTCTCACTCAAAGCTGTTCCCCCGCTGTGTTCCTGTCTCCACTATACGCCTTACGGAGAGATGGAATATAATCTTATCTAAAAAAGGCAGGATAAATATAGCCTGGGAGCCAATGGACCAATCCATCATGCCCTAGGGCCAAAAGCAGATCCCTCTCCATCAGGATAACACAGGTTGCACATTTTCTAGGTCTCATTTAGACTTCAATAGCATTAGTAACCAATAAGAGCACTAAGCAAAACATCGTGAATGAATGGATGAAGAATGCATAAACCAGGTACAGCTGCCTAACATTAGTGGCTAAAAATGGTATAACAAGATGCAATATTTCAAATGCACCTCATGCAATTGAATCTGGGATCAGTTATTTACAAAGCATTTCAAGTAAGATGGTAATTCGAAGATAGAACATCAAATAAAATGAAATGTAAATCTGAGAAGGTCATTGATGCAAAGCAGAGCTGTAACGTGTTTATCATTTGGCAGCCACAACCGAGGCCTGCTGTGTAGGTATCTTGGGAATTACTATAATGAATTTAGATAATGTCAATACCCCGGACACTAACTGAGACCCGAGGGAGGGTGATATACTTTTAATTAGCCCTGGAAAATATCCCAAGAGGGACTGGACACCAGATTGGGACAGTATGCATGGGTTTCTATTCACTGAAAAACTTCCCTGACCGTTCAGCATCAATCTCCATTTCCTTTGGGATTTAATTCACTACGTCTTGCATGTGAAAACACTAGACTCTTCACAAACTCCATTAGCGAAGCTCAAAGATCAAATTATGTGCATTTGTGCATACTTTAGACTCTCTAGAACGTGCCTTTAAAAATAAAAAAGATAAAGCATACTTTCCTATTAGCCTTAGCCAAAGAGGAAACAAACAAAACTACATGGAAACATCCTCCTTCTTTAGCCACAACATCATCAAGCTGATCCTTTAAGACTGGCTGCAAGGACCCTGTATGGTCCTACTGGCTGCCAAACTTTGCCATTACTGATTTGAGGGAAAAGCAGAGAAAATGTGTTTACTGTCATCATTATGGTCCAGCTAAATACATCAGGTTGGGCTTTTATTTTAAGGGATCACATAAGATCTTCTATTTAGAGATGGAGAGAGGCATGATGTCCGAGTAGTGATAGTGCATTGCTGCAGCTCGAGACTCTGCTCGTCTCCAGTGTTGAATTTCATAGTGGAATGTGAACTGCTCATCCGGATCCGTCCTCTCCTCCCTTCCTTTAAAAAAAAAAAAGGCAAGGGGAAACTTCTTGATTTGCCACGACCCCATCATCGAATGCGATTGGTCGAGCAGTACTGGGACTGTGTATTATTTGTACCAGTCCACGCCAAACCGGAGTATGTAAGCGGTGTGAAGTGGAAGCGGAGCATGGAATGGGGTTTTGGAAAGTCAAAGGTGTTTCACTGGAGGAGTGCACAATGGAAAACCTGGAGTGGAGCTGGAGACAAGAGATTACAAAAGTCTTTTTGTTTGCGTGTTACTTGGTGACACTCAAAACTTGATGCTTTGGCTTATATTTTGGAGCTACTGCTGGCTTCAAGTGCACTTGGGAAACTTGTTCCTCTGAATATTGTGCTTGTTACTAGGATATGTCACAAATTCAAGATGGAAGCATAACCTGGAAGTAGTCTAAACAAAAAAAGAATTATATTGTGAAAAATAAACCCAAATAACCACATTCAAAAATGATGAAAAATATTCATTTCTACCAACTTATTTATCCATGGATGGTACCACAACTAAGTGTGAAGAAACTGTAAAAGTTCAGCGATAAACGCCAATTCGCTTCAAACTTGCTCTCCGCTCACTGATCTCTTTATATATATATATATATATATGATATGATATTATCTATACGTTTCCACAATGTCAAATCAACACACGTCTTTCAACATCGCAAATCGTGTATCATCTAGAATTCAGTTTCCCATTTGTAAATATGACTTCCCTTCACCCAGATAGCACACATACATCTGCAAGATGTCTGGTAAAGATCGCTTCATCTGGAAAGCATCTGCTGTGCACAAACATCTGATAGACGTCTTTAAGATGTCAGTTTTACATTCATTCTAAATCATAAACATCTTAAAGACATCTTCTAAACGTCTATTTGACATCTGACGGGAAACGTCCTGTAGACGTATTGCAGATGAGCAAACACTCTAACAAATACGTCTTGCAGATGTCAAACTGACGTCTCTGTGATGCACGAGTGCTATCAGGGCAGTCATTAGTACGATCATTTCCAAATACACATAAAGGACACATTTGTCCATTCAACAAACATATGCACTAACTAGCCAATCTTTCTAGAGTGTACCCTGACAGCACACGTACGGAGACGTCAGTTTGACGAATGCATAGGACGTTTCCTATCAGATGTCAAATAGACGTTTAGAAGATGTCTTTAAGATGCTTATGATTTAGAATGCATGTAAAACTGACATCTTAAAGACGTCTATCAGATGTTTGTACACAGCAGATGCTTTCCAGATGAAGCAATCTTTAACAGACATCTTGCAGACGTACCAGTACTGTCTGGGTAAGTTACTTGATATTGATCGAGCAATATCACTCACAAATAATGCTGTTGCAGTATTTTATCTATGGTTCCTAGAGGCCTACCCTTGATTAAATACTACACAACACAGCGTCTTAAAACCATACAGACACCGTGGAGGATGCACAAAATGTGGCGAGTGAATTTGCCACGTTTACCTTCGTCTCTCTTGAAGTTTCTGCCTCACCGAGGGGGGGCGGAAAAAAGACGGAACACAAGTGCCTAGCAACCATTATCTAAGCAGCTCGAGCTCTGCTGCCGTCTCCCGAGAGACCGCGCGGACTCATCCATTCCTTCAGTTCACAACGACAAACTCTTTCAATAGAACTTGCAGAAACACTTTAAAACAACATATGAACACCTAACGCGTTTGATTTGATGATGCACATCTTAACCAGTCCTGAACCAGCGACTAAAAGTGTGACAGAATCACAACCAACCGAATTTTCTTTACTCGAACTACCTCGACAACTACCTGAACGCTTTCGTGATCAAAAACAGGCCATCCTTAAAGAGATAAACAAACTTTGTGACGCAACAGGTTGTTGTCGAACTAGAACAAACCAACAACAACAACAACCTAAAATGCATGCAAAACGATCGATATATATATATATATATATAAAAAACGACAATTTCGTTGGTCGACAGCGACCTAAGCGCGAGGCGATCAAAGTGCACGCGAGATGTGATGCTCCGCGCGACAGCGGCGCGTTAGCTTAACGCGCTAACAGCCACAGACTTTCAACCCCACCATCGCATGCAACAACTAACATACCGCTCTAAAAAGTTAGTAAAGATAACCGCAAAGTTGCGTGCACAGAAACACGCCCGATGTCCGCGAGAAACGGTGCTGTTTGGAGCAGGTTTGCGAGCATCAGGTCTGTCCTCGCGCAACGAGGAAGCTGAAGTTGGAAAAAAAAAAGTGTCCTCTTACTCCGCATTAACTTTCCCACTGACTCCAACTCCAAAGTTACGCTGGAAAACATCAAATAAACAGCAGGCCCGCGAGAGAGTGTTTAGGAGAGCCGAGTAACTTACGCTTGACTTTGTTGGGGTTGGGTTGCTTTCGCCGAGACATGATGATGATGGTGATGATGAGCTGAGGAGAGAGAGAAAGAAAAAAATAAAAGAAAGAAAGAAGCTGCAAAAGTTGTTCCGGAGAGGAACCAAAATGGCGTTTGTAAAAGATGTGCAAAGTTCGTCAACTTTGCGTTTGAGTTCCCCACTCTCCCAAATTCCCCCCACGCCGAGATGCTTTAGGGAGGAGAGAGGAAAACGCTCATTTCGTTTTCCTCCCACTGCGTCCCTCTCTCTCTCTAAAGCTGATAAGTAAGGCGGAGTATCACGTGTTGCTCCTGCTCTAGTCTCCAAGGGGACGCGTGTTACTGAAGCTGCAGCCGCACACAAGCATCCCACACACAAGTTAACCTGCTCTTTCACAAACTCTTCCGAAACAATACTAAAAACACAGAAAAGTGCATCTTATCAGTACGTCATGTGGTTAGAAAGACACACAAAATTCCATTTCAAACAATAAAGACAAAATATTTAAAAAAGAAAGGCCATTGGAAGTAAAATGAAGTTAGATAATAATAACTGTAGTAGTAAATATTGATAAATCATTACCCCAATAAAATAATTAAATAACATCTCTAATAAAAAGGGTAAATAAAAATATAAGCAATACAAATGATTATTATTGTTGTTGTTGTTTGTTTAAAATACAACCAAACTATGCAAATTATTATTATTTAAAAATAATCATTTATTCAAAAATTAAAAAAATAATAGTCATAGTAAATTTTGGCAAATTATCTGTATTAATGGTTAGGAAAACACAAAATAACAAATAATTAATTTTAAAAAACATCAATAAAAAGCTACATAAAATATGAAGAATGCAAATTATTATTATTAATATAAAATGAGAATAAAAATCACAAAAATGAATTCATTAAATAACAGCACAATTTAATAAATCAAATATAAAAAATACAAATGATTATTATTAGTTGCACTTGTATTAATCGATTTTATAGTTCAGAGTTTTATTGGCATGACAAATATTTGTACATTCATATTGCTAAAGCATCTTTGCCGCACACAAAGTAGTGCAAAACAACTTTAAAAAGGAGAAAATGTACAGAGTAAATGACAAAGAAAATAAAAACACCTGAAGTTAGTGATGAAGGTGAATATAGCATTAATAAAATGCTCAGAACATTACATTAAGGAAGTTTTTGGTCTGGCATGCAACAGGCTGAGAAATAATAATAATGTCAGTTGACTTCAAATGACAAAAGAAATAAATTGAGGATTTTGCAGGGTTTTATCAGCTGTGAGGTTTTGACTGTTGTCAGTGGTTAAAGCTGCTGATTCCTCGTGGTGCTGCTAGCAGGATATTAGACCCTCTCTGTCCACCCCTGCCCTTCCTCCAGCTCAGGCTGGTTAGACTGGCCAAAGCTGCCCCTCGACACAGCTTTCCATTGTGATACTGGATATTAGACTTGACTGACTACTGTATCATTCTGTAATTCTGATCAATTACTACACAAAACCCCAGCTGTGTTTACTGCTCAAATCAAACAAGAAATACAGTTTGGCATTTCCATAGTGGCTTTTTTCCCTCGGTTTGAGGAGTTCACTATTTGGGTCAATGAATAACTTGGCAGAGCAGTTTATCATTTCTTCCCAAAGTCGGCATGGTTGTCGAGTGTTCAAGTCATGCATCTTTGCAGAGTAATTTGCAAGGAACTTTATGAGTCAGATATGTTAAAGAGCAAATTAAAGTGATGGTTTGTTTCGTTCATTATCATGTAAACATGTCCAATACATGTAATGTCCAATACAGTTTTTCACCGTATATAGTAGGGGAATTTACCGTTAACCATTTAACAGGTTTTTACTGTAGCATTTTTTTACAGTCTTTTACCATTAAATTCACGGTCATTTTTTACAGTGTACACCTACACAGGATGACAGGTTAAAGCACGTACTGAAAGACCTACACATCTACAGACAAGATGCAGTGAGACCTCCATCTCCAAACTAGCCGAAACTTGAGAGTGATGTTATTTATTGACCGTTACCTAGGCTTCCAAATGCAACCCTGTTGCTAGGGAACAACCCTTCACAGCAACAAAAGGTTTCCTTTATCCTCTGTGAACGAGCCTGAAAGAATACCTCAGCAGCGGCGCGGTCTGAGGACAACGACTCACTGCACTGCAGGCCGCTCCGTCACAACACACCACATAACACATTCAATTAGTTGTCAGCAAATCAAAATGTCCACAATTTAAAAATGAAACATTGTAATCAGACTTTAATGGAAAGGGTTCTCCTGGACGAAACTGCAACATACTGAACTTCTCATGCTAGCGAATCACACAACATGCTTGCTTAAAGAGAATTTAGCGCATGGATTTAGAGCAATAACTGTGGCAAAACTACACCAAGGCAGTTTTTAAATAAGCACATGCTAATGCATTGCGAAGGTTGCTTTTGTTGCTTCCAGCAGACTCTTTAGCTTCTTCAAAGATACGGGTGGTTGGAGAAGAAGTGAAAAAACAGGTTTCCCTTGGTGATGGATGATTATTCTTGGCTAACAGTCGTTTGTGCTGCTGCTCACTTTATGTTGCTTTTTGGTTACTGTGTGGGCCTGAACAATTAATTCAGTTATAATGATGTGCTAAATATATTCATGTTTGTGCATTTATCAGCCATTAAAACATCCGTGGTTCTTCCTCATTGTAATATAGGTAAACATGAACATGAACAGTTGAACAGTTTGAAGCTTTACAAAGTTAAATGGTTGTTGATCCTATTGATAAAGCAAACTATTGTACTGCATTGCTAATAATGATAGCTGTTCCCATGCCTACCTAGCTAACAACAATGTATTCTGAGGACGTTTTGCTAATGTTATCATTAAGGTATGAAAACGTGAGTGTTCGCTAAGCATTGAAAACAATCTGTTTTTGTTTTTTTTTGTTTTTTTATGTTTAAAAAAAATGCCCTCAATGTTTTTTTTTCTTGGCTATATGAACGTTAAGGAAATATTCCATTTTAGAATTTTGCAAACATTATGAGAATGCTACTTTTGAATGTTCTCTGAACGTTCCGAAACAAGTCGTAACATTTAAAAAAACAACAACAATTGTTCATAAACTTTCTAAAAGCTTTCCATGCTAGATGCCTTGAAATGGCTCAGAACTTATTTTTGATCTTTCTCATGTTGTCTGCTAATTCCAGTTTGACCACATTCAATAAAAGCCTCATCAGAACAGCTGTGATGAAACTTTCAAGCACAGACTGAAATGAATTTCCCCCAGCTGGACTATTTTCATTTTCTCAAAAAGTGAACAGTTTACTGTTAAAACACTGAAGTATATGCATGTGATGTACAGCTCAGAATTATTATGCAATGCTTTCGTGATGAAGTTCTGGTCTGTATGAAGCGAAAATAAGTGAGTAAATGTATCTGAAATACGGAAGGAGGCAGATCTAATCTCTGAGGTCGTGAGAAGACACTTCGGACACTTCAACCAGATCTGCCTGTTGAATTTTTCATGTGTACATTAGGTTTGTCTCTAGATAATCAGGCCTCATCACGCCTCATGAATGGAAGGTATGTGATGAATGTATGTGCTGTCATTATGAATGGGCAAGAACTTTGCACTTTGTGTTGTTTGCTATTAAATATGGTGTCTGATATTTTGTACATTTAAAAAACAAAAATCACTTTTCACTTCTTCATTCAGTATATTAATTTATTTATTTGTTGCATACGTCCTTAGGACAAAATCTAAAACGTCTAAAACAATATAACAAAAACTTTTTTTTAAGGGAGCATCCAGTGCATGGTTTGCTCCGCAGCAGTGCTGTGAGTGTGAGAGGATGTGAGTGAAGCAGCGGAGCACGGCGCACAGCGGACTGAGCAGAAGAGTTCATGGCGCCATCTATTGGTGACAGTCAGGATTGCACTGTGTTACATTCGTATCATTTATATACGAATATACTTTTTATTAATATTTTGAATCATTTTGACATTGTTTCGTTTTTATTTCAATTTTAGCTAAAGTGTGATGTGTTTTTGTAATTTTTAGTAGTAGTAGTTTTGTCATTTTATATATTCTAGTTTTTATTCATTTTATTTTGGTTTTAATTGTATTTATATTTAGTTGTATTTTAGTACATCAAGTTAAACTAAACTAAAAAAATAAATGTTGCCTTGGCAACTAGCTTAAATAAAAAGTTTTTATATTTAATTTTATATAAAGGGATAGTTCACCCCAAAATGAATATATCATCATTTACTCACCCTTAAGTTGTTCCAAACCTGTATGAATTTCTTTCTTATATTGAACACAAAAGAAGATATGAAGAATGCTGGTAGCGTTGACTACTATTGGGAAAAAAACCTACTGTGGAAGTCAATGGCTACCAGCATGGCTTGGTTACCAAATATCTCATAAACTCATCCAGGTTTGGAACAACTTGAGGGTAAGTAAATAATGACAGGATTTTCATTTTGGCTGAACTATACCTTTAAACTAACATTCATTTTATTTCAAGCAACATTTTTTGTTTTCATGGTTTTAGTTTTTGTTTCAGTTTCAGTTAACTATAACAAGCCAGTCCTGACAAAAATGACCCTTAAAACTGTTGATGTTTGTAGACAATATGCATAAAAAAAATAAAATAAAAAAACAAGGTAAAGCGCTACTGATGACAAAGACATACAACCTGTTTAAGAACATTTAGTTAATTTTTAATATTTTTTTAATATTGCTACCCATATAAATCAGAGGCTCTCAGCCATTGGTTTGAGTTTGAGCCGTATACGTACATTGCACAATCTGTTACCGTTATTTTTCTGGAAAGTCAGGAAAATTTCTAACGCAGTGTCATTTCCACCATAACTCAAATTGTGCGTTGTGTTTAACAGCAGTCTGTGATGAAAATCTTTTAACATTTGTGGAATGACTGATTCTCTTGTCTTGCTGGTTCATTTTTATTGCATTTTAGATATCCTAAATATATATATATATATATATATATATATATACACTGTAAAAAATGACCGTGAATTTAACAGTAAAAGACTGTAAAAAATGCTACAGTAAAAACCTGTTAAATGGTTAACGGTAAATTCCCCTACTATATACGGTGAAAAACTTTATTGGACATTACATGTATTGGACATACATTTTACGGTAGTATACCGTTTTTGGAAGTGAAAAAGAATGTATAATTTACAGTGAATAACTGTAAATTGACATTCCCAGAATTCCCTGCGTTACATTTCA